TTATCTGGCTGATATTTCTACACATTATAAAATTAACTAAAATCTTTCAAAGTAGGTTGATTATTCTCATCACGAGCAGAAAGCCATTCTCGCCTTTCTTGAAAACCTGAAAGCGTACGCTCAAAACGTTGGAGTTCGTGAATTTTCACATTTCCCTATTTTTGATACAGTCATGATGGAGCTGATTAATGAGCACTTGATTGCTTATGCCAAACCTTTACAACAGCTCCCAAACGAAATGTGGAGCAGGTTTCATGGTCTGATTCATAAGGAAACCCCAATTTATATTTCAGATCCATTTGGTGTACAGCCTTAAAATGATCGAGTCAAAATCCAGGAAATTCTCATAAAGTTTCAAAGTATTACGCTAGCAAGATCCAAAAGCACGCAACAGAAAATAGCTTGTTCACTAAAGACTGATGTCAATCACAGTTATTCCAGGCTGTGGGAAATAGCTGTAATATATTTCCTTACATTTCCATTTACATACTTGATTGAATGTGAAATCGGTAGAGTGTTGCCTTTGACAAAAATAATAAACAGGTTGAACATCAAAGTAAAAGGAGATCTTAGCCTCTCAATGTGCAGTCCGTAGCTAGATTTAAGCGCTTGCTCAAGAACATCGACCTGAAAGTCTGCATTCGTTAGGTCTCCACGCCTTGGGACCTAGTTATGTTCATCGAAACATGACTGGACACGGAGATCACGGATGATGAGATTGCACTACCTGGCATGACTTACATATGAAATGATCGACCTAGCAAAGGAGTGGGAGTACTCCTGTATTATCGATCCGACCTGCATGTTTATATCATTGAGGACCCAGAAACGAAAGACGTCGATTCTCCTTGGTCTGGTACGCAGGTAAGACGTAGTGGTGTATTTACTAGCAGCGGTTCACTACCCTGTAATATCCAACTTGGAAATAGAACATTGCCTCGCTTTTACAATGAAACGAGTCCTGGCACGACCACACAGTCACGTCCTTCTGGTAGGGGAATTTAACCTGCAAATAATCCAAGTACCAGCATTGTACAGCAAAAAATTCAAAGCTGATTTGAGAGTTACACGCCAACGTGCTACTGTACAACCATGTCAGATCCCCCATACGTTTCCGAACTGGTGACACCCTCAGATTTGGCGCTTTCACTCTCCAACTAATGGTCGACACCGTGACCATAGATGCACCACTTGGCGGAAGCGATCACGCAATGTTACTCTTTCGTTACATCTGTTAATCGGAGTACGTCAGTGAGAACAACGTGGAAACCTATGTCGTTTCACATTACGATATCCTGTCCAAAATCGTTAAAGAAACTGGCTGGTACTTCCTGGTAGGGCAGCCGCCCGATGTCACCCAGATGGTGTTTATCGCCCAATTCACTTAGATAGCTGCAAATGCTTTAGAAAGCAAGGTATTTCGCCCAAAGCAAGTGAACTCGTTAACGAGGAGCCGTACTAGAATAGGCATGACCTTATTGGATTCATCTTGGTGCGCTTATAATGTCTGTCCAAGTAACCTGACTTGGAGTGCTTGCACAACACAACGAAAACAATGCGTCCATTTGATCCGTAAATACTAACTCCAGCATCAACAGAACTTAGCGGCACAATAAATGCAACTCTTAAGTTGCGGTATAGACACGTCAACAAGCTCAGCAGAGTGCTGTGCAGAATCCTGGTTTTACGTGCAACAAATGCGGCCAATATGCTTTTCAAACACTACATCCATACTTTTCGGACTGAATCATCATTTTATTCGCCTTTTACACAGCTTCCATAGCCACACGGATTAAACCACGTATCGTTCACCGCAGCCAATATGATGAAAACGTCAATGCCATTGCGCGTGCATAGCTCACCTGGAAGGCGTCAAACCGAAGGCTTTGAAGATCACGGCCATGAACCTTGCTAAACCATTAGTTTCGTTCTTTCAATTTTGTCTCGACGAAATGCAGATTCCCACAATGTGGGAACAGGGACTAGTCACTTCTGTTTACAAAAGTGTGAATCTTTCCAATCCCTTGAACTACCGTTCAATCACTCTCATCTCAGTTTTATCCAAATTGATGGAACGTCTAATTGCAGAGGCGCTCATGGGATATCTTGAGAGCAACAACCTCCTAGTGTTAGAGTAACACCGATTCCGTCACAATCGATCCTGCACTACAAACTGGCCGCTCTATCCAGCAAGCTGGTCCGAGTCAGCTGATGCCAGAGTGGAAGTCGACGTTGTATACCAGGACTTCTTGAAAGCGTTCGCTCGTTTGGATTACCGCATTCTTCTTCATAATCTCCGAAGCTATGGAGTCGATGACCCAGTGCTCGGTTGGATCGGCAACTTCCTCACTCAAAGTCAGCTAAATATGAGAGTCGGTAGCTCCATTTCCGACCCAATTGACGTCCAATGTGGCGTGCCCCAAAGATCGGCACTGGGGCCAGTTTGTTCCTTACATTCAATTAACGAACTTGCCAGTGTACTGCAGTCGAATTTCTTACTATTTGCAGATGATGTCAAAATTTGGCATTATGCCAGGAATGCGGATGATCACATAGCCTAACAGAGCGAGCTCGACAAGGCTTATTCGTGGTCATCCGACAACCGGCACCAGTTCAACGTAGCGAAGTGCGAAGTCGTAAACATATGCCATTAGATTATCTATGAATATCGACTTGGAGAACAGCAGTTACAACTCGCTTCCCAAAACTCCACCTCCGGATAATAGTGCAGTACGACCTTGGCTGCTGGAGATATGCAGAGAAAGCATTAAAAACAGCCAGTCAACATCCTAGACTCTTACGGTAGGCTTTCGGCAATTTTGAGCCATCCATCTTTCCGTAAATTCTGAACGCCTACGTGAGGTACCATGATGAATATGCAATCCAGGTCTGACGTCCGTGACGCAAGCGTTTCGTCAATGGACTTGAAGCACCACAATGCAAAAACGACCAAACTCATTAGAGGATCGATTTATCCCTCTTACTAGCACTGCCTGCAAGTCCCTGAGATTGTACAGTGGCGAACATCGATGTCAGCGAGGAAACGTAATCATTGTTTACTTATTACTGACAAACCTAACTCACCTATGTCGCAATACATTGTAGCTGAGCCAAAATAACTGGCTACGCACCACAGTAGATTTGATTGTCAACAAAACCTTTTCTCCCTCCGAGTGTTCCGTCCCTGTAATGCCCTTCCGACTCATGTTATTCTTACCCCTACATTAACGGTATTCATAAAAAGCCTTGATGAAACGCTTTCAAACTTGCATTAATTAATCTAGTCCGTTCCACTTGGAGGACGAAATAACACAAAACTAACCATGGGATTGACGGACCTCTCCGCTACTTGGCGATGTGGATACATGCAGAAGTGTCGATATGAGTAGCCTGGATGCATTTAAACTGGATTAAGTTAACGCATCTGTCAAACGAAGCAGCACACGAACAAGCGAAGTCGTTCCTTTTTTTCTTTCTCACGCATTTATTAAACTTTAACGGTCATTTATACTATATTGTGTGTGCAGATCCATTCCAACTTAAAACTATCGTTTTGCAGTAGTGCATATAAATCGGTAGACGGTTAAAATAAGGTTTTACTTATTTTTGTTCTTTTCAATTTTAATTTGTACTCCAACTATCCTACGGGATTTTTCAAGCACATGCTCTTTTACTCGTGATAAATCATTGTTCATTAATCTTAATATATCGAAAACACACTGTTACAAAGTCACCACACCTGTGGCTGTCCCTATGGAATCCACAGTGACAGGCAAATTTAGATACGGATGCCGCCATACACTTAACTCATGACTTGTCTTGCTTATAAACACCAACAATAATTAATTATAATAGAAAAATTAATGATGACTGTTGTGTAACTACAGACAAGGGGCTTGATTGTGCCGCAAAATGAATATTATCGTGAGACTGTGAAAGTTAAAAAAGTGGGTTATTTGGGAGGTGCACTGATGTCAACCTCAAAAATTCAGTCATCATGACAAAAGTGATCAATATAACCAATGAAGATCACAGATTTACGTCTGTCAAACGTTGCGGCTTACTGCAATTTTTGGTGATCATGGTTGTGTGTCACGAGAAATGGAATGGTTGTAAAGGTGGTAACGGCAAAATTAAGCTTGCGAAAGCCTGCTCTAATGCACAAACAATGGCTAGATAATTGAAGACTGGTTGTCCAGTTTGTTCAAATGGCGGTTGCACTGTTCGCTGTGCTTGGCAATGTGGTTGCAAACGTTTCGTCACCAATCGAGTAGACATCATGGGTGCGTAGTTGAGTGGCGTGCAGTAGCGTAGAGGAGCCGCGGTAAGGCACTGTCACCGAGCTCAGCGAACAGTTCGACTGCCATCTGGACAGCCCACGGACATCACAAATACCCGGCGTTTGTGATATATGGAGTGTTAGCTCTCTGCTGGGATTATAGAGATTGCGTAACAGCAGGTAAATAACATATCCGGGATTTTATACAAAAAAGACAACCATATGCGGAACTTGGTCTCTTCCCATTTGGTCGACATCGGATAAAAATTTTCACATTCGTCTAGTTATAACGGTAAAACTAATAGAGTCGTTTGCAAATAGTGACATTACGAAATTTATTCCATACAAATAATCTTTCCATGAGCGGGACGACCCTTTACTAAATCTCTGCTCACGCTTCTCGGACGATTGTTTCTTCTGTTCCGTCCAACGAACGCACAGATGCCGGGACAACAGCATTGGTCATATTTTGATTAAATCTATAGTTGTATATAATAAAAATAAATTTGGAATAACACTGGATATATTAGGTGGCAATGCTTTTTCGAACAAGCAAGTGTGACCGATTGGGTTAGGCAAATTTGCTTTGGTAATCTTTCTCCAATTTAAATGAGTGATGCTAACTTCCGTCGCCTAAACATTTACTGTTTCCCCATTGTTGGTTAAATTTACAACAACTCAATCTCAAACAGCATTTACAAGCTGTCTGCAATTTAATCTAATGTCATACTCGACTTTTGTGCCCTGTATCGTTATAATTCAAATTAATGAAGCTGAATGTACTGGGTTTAAATTCACAGAATTCAATGAATCATATGATACACACTGTTATGTCTGTGGTATTTCTACGAAGTGTGAGTACCTTTCGGGATTGATCCATACATGCATACGTCACTACTGTTCAGGTGCTGCCTGTTTGGTGCACCAGTACATGTGGTTATCCACAACCTACAAATGATAGGCCTGCCTGTCAATTGCGACGCAATACTCCATGACAGGATTTGCTTTTGATTACGGAAAATGAGAACGAAAGGTCGGCTAAAATTGTTGATGGTTTGCTTTGCGCTTGCAAGGCCACTAATGTATACCAGCAGCATTGATAATACGGTTCGAAAACGTCGTCAGGTTTGAAGTATTCGTCGATCTTGCCGTGTACTAGAACATGTACACTCACATTAATAAAGTCTAACAAGAAAATGGAGTAGGAAATCAAGGAAGAAAGAAATGGTAAATGTTAAATGTTGCTCGAAGCCGCATTGGCTTTTATGTAAAGGCAACATTCCGGAAGACCTCCAAGACATTAACAGCAAATCGTTGATTTTGCAGAGAAGATTCATCAGGGGGAAAAATACACCACGTTTTCTTTAATGTTTTAAAGCTTAAACCCTCGTAAAATGAACCGTTGGATTAATGCCTTTCTCCTAGTGAAGCAGCAGTGTCGCATTCCAATGTCTGTGCCATTCAGCGTTCCTTAGAATCCCCATGACCATACTACAGGTGGTGGGAAGGGGCATAAAATTAAAAGGTAGAATTCATGTGCGCCACTTGGCTGCGGTGCAGCTGTCTGTATTGCCGTTAATATTTGACAAGAAATGTTGTAATAAAAAGTGTATCCCTTGTTATTTGTCTGCACGTAGAAGAAACCACTTCGGCAAAGCTAAGTGGCTGGCTCATTTTGTTTAGATAGTGTTAGAATGGGTTGGTGAAGATAAAAAAAGATAAGTTGAGGGCCAGCTCCACTTTACTGCACCGCGTGTGGAATAAGTGCGCAGTCAGGAACGTGAAGTACGCGTGTAGCAACCGAAAAGCTAACTGGCGTCATTTGTCAATGCTTACATATTAGCTAGGATATGACGTAAAATGTGTATATGACATCTCGAAAGATATTGCAAAATTAGTCCACATTGGACCTTTCTCTAGGAGGACCGAAGATCAGGCACGGCAGCAACTATCCGCTAATATTTTGTATCTGAATCCCGTTTACTTTCATAGTTACGCTACCTAAAACTATTTCCTTGGGTTTTACAATTAATTATAACATCAGTAACGAATTGGATGTTATCTTACACAGTTCGACGAAAAACCCCAATTAGGAATGGAAGCATACAAGAATTTGCTCGTGCAAGTAAACATATAAGACCAACGGGTAACGCACACAATGCTGCAGTTTACATAATACACATCACAAGCTTAGTTAAAGCATAATGTTCGTTGTTTACTGCTCTCTGTGTAGTTTCTACTTGGATCGCAAGCAATTATTCGAGCTGATTAAACGCTTTCTATAGGATGTTGGTTGGATTCTAATCCACAATATGTTTCCTAGAGCCGGAAAATAATTACTGTGAATGCTGTAAAATTAACAATATTTGGGGCGCGGAACAATAATTACCATATTCTAGCTGTAACGAAAGTTAATAAACCGTTATTTCAGGCGTGCGCGTTTTTGTTGTTTCTTTGTCTTCCCTATTAAACTTTAGTAACTAGCAATAAAATACGATGCAAATATGCATATAATCAACTGGCGCTGTACGTCAAATTCACGGTGTACTACAAGATTGGTGATGTTAGTATGCTCCGACGGAGCGCTCAATCTTAATGGCAAGCAGTTTGTAGTAAAGAGCCGGAGTAGAGAGGGTGAGATTTTTGGTAGTTAAAACACCTGTACCTACACATTCGACATTATGTTTATAATATATCTTCTATAGCAACTGACTTATGTGTATTAGTTAATGTGTCATTGGTTTTCCTACCCATTACGAAAGGGAATCGAAAACCGGTAAGCAGCCCGTTTGACTGTTCAGAATTGGGTTCAGACAGTCAGAACTCACAGTTGTCGGTTAGCTACTCACTTTTGCATGTCCACACGTCAAATAGGCAAATGAAGCCTGGTAACCGTAGCTAAATACGGCCGCATTTCCCTAACATAATCCTAACTTCTGGTTTGCAAGCAGGCCATTACAATATTTAACCTTCCAAGTTGGCTTTGAATGTTCAGCTTACGGAACTGTCGATTGCTGATTCCAACAAGTGTTGCAGTGTCCACGTTATGTATGTAGATTTTAGAGAGCACAGCAGTAGCCACAAATTAAGAGGCAAGTCCTCAAACAGGTGAAGCATTATAACCAATTTGAATGACTCTGTACTTGGTTGAATTGCTTTTTTCTCTCATTTAGTGCGAAAATTACTTATCATTGTCTTAACTATGACGCCCAATTGGCCAGTCAGTTATGCATCCAAGATAAATCAAAATAAAGCATATTCCAATAGGGTGATTTCAAATAATAACTTCTGCGCACTTGCATACACTCAAAACCTTTCTGACTCAAAACCGTAAGTTATAGTTTGACCAGAGGATGTTAAAAAGCAATGTTACCTAGGATAAGAGTGCAACTTCTCAATGACGCCAGCGCTCAAGTCCAAAAACAACCGATGACTATAGCATATATGTAAGCGTGATAAGGCCCATTAAAGCAGTCCACCAATTCGTGCTAATAACACAAAGTGAGCACAGCTTTCCATACGATTCTATTATTAACCACACCACTAACACCGAAATATCTACAAATTCATCAGTCGATCACACCTGCTCTGTATTTCCAATCCCGGTAGTCTTTGTGATGTCACAACTTACCTTGAGACGCATTCTAATTCTTATTTTCCTGTTCAATTGTACTCGGTGTAAGAAAATCTCAGGAAAGCGAATAGCTGATCCCATTTACATATTCTAAAATAATGCGCCGCTTCATAGAGGGAATTTTGTTTACAGATCAAGAAGGTCTAATATGGTTCAAACCAGTGTGTATCGTTTATTTCACAGGAGATGTCAACGGCCGGTTCGAGACCAGCTAAATTTACGCTTTTAGGATGACAGCATTTAGCATCTTCGAACCATAAAATTGCGCTTGTTATTTTAGACTCACAACAGACGCAAAATGTCACTTATTACAATGCACCTAAATTGCGATAATTCCTCGCACTTATGGGTCAATATGATGTGGAACACTTATTCTGCATTTACACACTCGAACGCTCTTACTGTGAACAACGGATGCTTTCCGGGTTTATTCAACTGATAATGCTTATAGGTGTGCAGCTGCATGGCTTTTACGTTTTTCGTTGTTGCGCAAGTACTGTTCTTCTTCTTCCTCTTCCAACACAACTTTCATCTATCCTCTAGGCAATCTTGCCCGGATGAATTTCCTACGGATCACGGTTCCAGCAATGCTAGATTTTCACAGATTTCATGCTTAAATGTACAATTGAAACCTTACTGCATTTTGGTTACTTAACCGACTGTTTTACTGCTTTCGAGAGAACAATCTCTGAGGCAACCAATAAACACGGTCGACTCATATATTGAGTTTTACAAGGCCGCTAAGGTACACTTAACGATTTTAAGGATTTTAAACTGCCCCAGCGTAGCTCTCAACCGGAGGCGTCTTATTCCTCTCCATCTACTGCTACCAGTGGTTCGACATTATCGGGCAGAGAAACCTGCTCCAAGCTAATCGTCCAAGCGAGTATCGAGCACACACAGGAAGAGCCGCCCTCTGTTCATTCTTTAGTTCATTCGAATTTAAAAGCCACACATCCCGCCGTCAGTGGACAAACTTATCCGACCTTTCCTACTCCTCCCACCGAACGAAGCGCACATCAGTTGTCGTTTCCAATTCACTCAAACACGGTGTACAGCTCAGTTGAAGATGAGTTCAGGACAAACTTATCTGAACCCGCTTGCAAACGTGTGGACGTTAAACAGCAACGCACACTGCGTGAGTTGGCCTCGGGCAGGGCGTTTTCTACTCCGTTTTCCAAACCCCGCGCAGTTACTTCCATTAGCAGCACACCTACGGGATTGCTATGTGCTAACCACCCTCGGTCTACGTTAACTAATCATTTGGCCTCGCGTCGCGATGGCAATCCCGTCACGGTTTTCCGGAGTAGCTATGCCGAACATTCTGGACATTCTGAAGAGTTCGACAGTGACGAGGTTACTGGCCAACTTCTGAAGAGACAGTATCAACCGAACAAGTCCGTTTACATTCCTGAACTGAAACATGAGGCTAACGCGCAGGCCGAAAGTCGACATCAAATACGTGAAGTGTCTCTTCGGCATCCTGACTTTCCTGATTCTCTTATTAATGGTGTACTATTTCGGGCTCGATACTTGGACAACACTCAGCTAACCTCCGAACAACAACCCACCAGGAAGTCTCGGATGTTTCAAGCCCTGATGCTTTTCCGGATAGGTAGTTGACTTATCTGAATTGTCGGCTGACTGCCACGAACAAAATATTGATACTTTGCCTATTCTTCAGTTTGGATAGCAAGCAGCTTCCCAGCAATCGCTCAGCCGATCAATCTGTCCCACCAGATGTGCGCATGTGCTTGAAGATGACTAGTCTCTGAGCGACGTTAGGCATTAACTCAGTGTTTACCCCAGCAGATGCGGTGACCCTTGAAGTATGAGCGTGACCAAAAACGTAAAATCAGCATTGCAAACATGATGTAACGCTGCGTGTGCTCTTCAGAGAATCGCGTTAAGGCCCTTCAGATGAAGGTAATTTGCTCTTAATACATTTGATCGCACCACACAAAATATATAGGAAGGTCCATCATAGAAGTGAAGCGTATAAACAAGTAAGCTGAAGCAATTTGTTTTTTATAACCTGCCAGGTCATTCCGTTGGTCAACTGTTTTGCTTGCTCATGAAGTACTACAGGAGGTTGACTGAGACAGTCGCATTTTTGAGGAAGACTTGTATCGCACACCCAGAGATAATTATGGCTAAGCTTATACCACAACCTGCCAAATTATACTCCGCCTCTAGGCTGAAGAAGAGAACCGGGTGGTTCTACTGCGCTGCAGCGTCCTTGTATCCAAAGCCTCTAGCTCACCTCACTCACATAAGCGGACAAGCATCGACCTTTCCTGCCTCCACTCCTTTAAGAGGTACAGCCTAGATTAAGTCGGCAGCGATACTGACGGCTCTGAGCCCGAGTTCGCCCAACATATAGAAATGCCGGGCATGGTACGCATCAGTTGCCTCAAGGAAAAAACCTGAAGGAACACCCCTGGCTCTGGTAGCATAACAGAGAAACATTAAGTTGACGCAGCTTCCACAAACAAACAAGCCGTGAAAAACGGCATCAACTAATAACCCAAAGGTGTAACCAACATCATAAATCACAGTAGGTCAACTGTTGTGTGTATAAATTTTCCAACACCGCAGTGGACTACTATAAGTGGTGGTGAAGGACAACCAAAACCAAGTAAGTTCAGTTGTGGCACGCTTGGAATTTCGTTAAGCCATGACACTTAGACGTGTCACAAGTGTCGCACATTCAGTGCATAACAGATAACCTCGACTTTTTCCTGTGACACAGTTCAGCTGACGCCATAGAGGCCGTTCTCCTGTCGTTGCTTTGGATCCTCAAATCATCATGTGAAATATGCTTACTTCCGGATATCCATTAGAAAGGACGAATTAAGGAGAACCGCAACCGTGAGGAAGTTCGTAAATCCGACAACAAACGGATGATTTTGACGGAGCTCCTGAGCTTTGCTACCAATCCGCGGAGGAACTAGAATTATACGACCGAGAATACTGAATTTGTCAGCGAAAAGAGAGATCTCTCGGTAATAAGGTTGCAAAACGTTTGACAGGAATTCCAGTTTTATCCAATCACAAGAGTAAAAGTCCAAGTCTGATTAACGTAATGCTTCAGCTCTGTTAATGGTACCGCTTATCGTAGAAAGCTGGTATAAATTCCGCAAAAGGCTGTTTACAGAAATTCGATGAAATACAGCGACTGGATAGCCGCAGTCGTCTAACAACTTACTTGAAAAAGCCAGTGTAGTGAATCTTCCCTTCATATAGCTCTGTAGATGGAATGAACTCATAGCGACCCAGCGTCCGACAGAATGCAATTCAATACGGGAGGCCATCATGACCCGGACAGCCGCGAGCAGTAATATAAGTCAGCCGAACTACCAAAGCCAACGATTCCTCAAATACAACTAATGGCCTACCCCTCAACGTTGTTTACAATCTCTAATCCTAGTTCAACATCTGCCACTCACCGTAAGTTACCGAGAAAGGTTTTTGCTCGTATACTAACGCACGTGGCTTTATGCATTTGTGCGTCCAACTCCGTCGTCAAGCTTCAGATCCTTGAGATATCCTAATGATCAACGAAACATAGCTAAACTGTTTTCGTACTGACGCTGATATCGCTCTACTCGGTAAGTGACGTCCCTGGAATGACAAAACGGAGAGGAGAGGCGGAGTGACCATTTATCACAAAACTAACCTTGAACTCAAAGACCATTCCTAAACGAGCGACCCTGATATCCTTTGGTGCGAACTGTGGTTGAAGAACGATGACGCATGTCACGTACCCATAGTTTAGCGACCGCCAATGTCCTCTCCAGTTATGGACAACATATGAATATCAGCTTTGCGTATTTTGTTAAATCAGCAATACAGGCATATCCTCATTACAGAAGAATTCCACATCCATAATATGGAAACTTCATCAACCTAAATTGGACGGTTCAAGACGTTTCTGCAAGAGCTACTCTATAGCATATCCTTGTGTAACCACCTCACCGCTCCCACCAGGTTATGACGAGGGAATAAGCCATCAATACTAAACCTAGTTTCCACTAGCTCTATGCTTATGGTAGTTGGGTTATATGTGGGCTGTTCTTTGGGTCGAAGCGACCACGTGACTCTACGGTTCGACTACACTTGCTAAGCCGAATAACCCGAATCAGCGACCGAGAGGATGCAATATACTACACATCAACATATGTTGTCTGCATTCATTAAAACACTAATTGTGCATCCGTGACTGAGTGCACTCTGGGAAACCTTTATAAGTACATCCACTTCTCGATCCCAAAAGTATCGACACTAAAAGATTTCCATCGTTCCGTCGAACCATGATTATTTTGAGAATCCAAACACGAAAATACATGGCTATAAGTGATCGAACATGGTCTATTTTCAAAAACAAGTTCAGTTGAGAACATTTGACACTGTACATAGTTTAACAAAGCAAGTCTATGCATTTGGATCGTGAGGAAAACACGGAATTATCACAGGATAAAAGCAAGTGCTTCACTAGTTCTGTAGGGTGGTTGGGGTGAATACGCTGAAATCAAAATATTTGTGCGCCATTTACCGAACGTCTGCTGATATGAATGCTTTCGGAAATAACGGCAATGTAGAAATATCGAGTATAAGCGTACAGAAAAACAAAAGATGCAGTGGCCATTGATAAAAGGCGTGTAAAAGTAAAAATAGTCGCTCATTTAGACCCATTTGAGACATAAATCCTGTAGAAAGTAATGCTTGGCATAATCCACAATAGCGAAGATTAGGTAATAAAGTTCTGGGAGCAAAGCTCAACAACTAATCTTTTTCTGTAAACGCCTGAGGTAGGGGAAGACTTAACAGAGTCTGGGAGTGCGTTACAGGTTTGGCTAACCCGAAGGGAAGACTAATTACCTCGGCACTAGACGGCTATATTTTCCATTTAATTTTAAGTAGTTAACCCTGACCTGCGAGTTATTGTTAAGTTGGAGCAAATGGCGCCAAACATGATTGAAGTCACTCAATATTTGGTGCACCAATATGAGGCCACTGCGCAGCCTTCGGTAGCGTCCGCCGAAAATTCCCAACAACTTCAGCCTTCGGTGGTAAGAGTGATACCACAGGTCTTTGATATTCTTTGTTACTGTTCCTTGTGGTGCCTTTACTGCCTCCACGTGGCCATTCAAGCAAGATAACCAAGCTTGGATAGCGTATTCAACGTGCCGGCGCAAGTAGTAATTGGACACCATTAACAAGATTGCTGGGTCAAATCTCCCGAATGCCCTTCGGAGCATGCCTACGTGCTGGTCCCCTCTTTACGCAGGTACCTAACCATGTTTTGAACAGTTGAGGTCACTCTGTACGAGCACACTTAGGTCAGGTTCCTGGGAAATGGTCTGCAAATATGTGTAGTCATGTCTATGGCGTAATTGCGCAACGCAACGCTTGTCTACGTCGAATGATAGGGTGTTTTCAACTGACCTGTTCGACACTCTGTTAAAATCGCACATTAGCCGCTCGTGGCCGTGCGGTCCTCTGATCCTTCGCCATATATTGATACCGTCGGCGCAAAAAAAGAAAATAGGAAGCAGTTGATGTCGCCAAATTGTTAATGAACACCAAGAATAGAGGAGGTCCAAGCACCGAGCCTTGTGATACACCACATCAATTGCATCGGACAGAGTATCCCCGACTCTCGCCACCAACAGTTGTTCGTAAAGGAAGTAGCTAATCAAACTCGGGATTGGGACGACAACGCAATAGTTCTGAAGATTCTGAAGAATACCATGGTATAAGCGGTCAACCGTTTTTGAGATGCCCAGGCAGACATCATCGACTGGTGCTTCATTATAAACGGTTTCAGTCCAGCTAATACGTGCAATTAATAGATTAGTAGTATATGAACACTTTGGACCAATGCCATATTGCTTTGGGGCTATCAGTTTGTAGCTTTGCAGATACTGCATCAGCGCATATACGATGCTTGATTCCATAAATTTGGCTAGTACAGGAAATAATGTTATTGGATGGTAGTTGGTAGGGTTAGGGCGGCTATCTTCTTTATGGATAAGAGTGATGACCCCTCGCTTCCATACTGTTGTAGTATGGTTTCTTATAGACATCACTGAAAGAAAACAGCCAGTGGTTCTGCTCGATTACTAGCTACCGCCTGCAGAGCCTTTGGTCGGATGTTGTCGACTCCAGGAGAACTGTGGATACGCAAGGATAGCAATTTATTAAACACAGCTTTCGTAGTAAAGTGACGTTGTCTAAACTCGACGGTACAGTAATAGAAAGGGGGGGAATATCTGGGTTGGTTATCTACTGGAAAGTTTGGGTGTAATGAAGCCGTAGGAGATCAGCTGCTTCCATTGCTGTTCGCGTGCACCCATCTCCGTGACTAGTGCTGGTATCCTCGCTTCACCATTCGAATGCTGTTAAGATGCCTTTACAGAAGTTTGTGGTTCTTGCAAAATCGCTTCATTAACTCCTGATGATGCGTGACCTAGTTTTTGCGGATCAGTTTTACAAAAAAGTTACAATGTGTCACGTATGCACTCTAGGTTTCAGCATATGGGCAGTCCTTATGAGTTCCGCATGCGAAGTCCCACATGGGGCATACATTTACGTGTTCTGCTCCTCAGAAATGACTTGTA